TCACATTGCTTCTGCTCACTTGCTACAGTGTATTGATATGTAAGATCTGGATAAACTGAGACATGCAATTGTGGCAAACCAATTGCTAGCTAAACTTGGTAAATTTTCCCCCTTGATTATCAATTAAAGTTCTAACTATATGCTGTTGAGTCAATTCCAACTCATGGTGACCCAGGAGTGTCAGAGCAGAACAAGCCTCCACCGATTTTCAATGCTAATTGTTGGAAGTCTATCACCAGGCCTTTTCTTCTGGGAACCTCTCAAAAAAAAAAAAAAAAAGCTGTTGATTCCAACTCTTAGTGACTCTATAGGACAAAGTAGAAGTGCCCCCATGGCGTCTCCAAGGCTGTAATCTTTACAAAAGCAGATTGCCACATCTTTCTTACATGGAGTGGCTGGTGGATTCGAACTGCTGACCTTTCTGTTAGCAGTCAAGTGTTTAGCCAATGTGCCACTAGGCTCCTTGGGGAGCATCTGGGTGTGCCCAAACCTCCAACCCCTAGGGTAGCAGTTGAACGTGTTAACCATTTTCACCACTCGGACAATCAAGGCTCTGAACCAAAAACCAAACCCACTGCCATCTAGTCCATTTCGACTCATAGCGACCCTATAGGACAGAACAGATCTGCCTCATAGGGTTTCCAAGGCTATAAATCTTTACGGAAGCAGAATGCTCCATCTTTCTCCCCTGGAGTGGCTGGTGGGTTCAAGGTGCTGAACTTTTGCTTCACAGCGGAGTGCTTTAACCACTTTGCCACCAAGGCTCCCTAATTAAGGTCCTATTGTTGTTGTTGTTGTTAAATGCCGTCGAGTCGTTTCCAACTCATAGCGACCCCATGCACAGCAGTAGGTGCTAAATATTATATTAGGCACCTTACATACTCCTTCATTTAATGCAATAACCCTTTAGGGTGAGGTTTATTGAGTTTTATTATCACTTTATAGACAAGGAAACTAAAGCTTAGAGAGTTTAGCCTTAAAAATCCCAGCTATTAAGTGATGGAGCTACCTGACCCCAAGCCCAGGTATTATGTATGGTATTAACTGCATTTCTGACCTTTACAATTTTTTTTAAATATAGAATTCATCTGTGTTTTTAAACTTTAATTCAAAGACATCGTAGTTGTCCTCAATTTCAGAAACAGATTGTGCTGCAATTTTCTAATTCCTTGCCTCTACTTAAATTACGTTACCACCATTAAATGTTGCCTTCTATAATCATATTCCTAAGCAGTAAAACTAGAAGAAAATGATTGCAAATGCAGATTTGTGTAATTAGCATAAATAGAAATGCAGTAGTAGTTACATAACAAAGGCTGACTTAAACTTGCATATTTTGGAAACAAGATTTGCTCTTTAATAGGAATTAATATTCTTCTAACTGGAGACTATCCCTTATGGTATAAACTTTCAGGGTTAAACCCAAACGTAGTTATATCCATACTTGGGAGCATTTTGAGAATTCAAGGCTGAAATTTCCACACTGTGCTTGTTGTCAATCCATTGTTCTGTTGCCTGGTAGGCTCAGGAAGTGAATATTCTACCACTTTGTGCAGTTGATTCTGGATGTTATGTCCACTAAACTGGGGTCGCCCAGGGTCACCAATTAGTATTTCAGTTCTGTGGGTCCAGAAGCATTTCTTCAGCCACAGATGGAGACTATCTGCAAGGTCTTCATCATAAAACATATCTCCAAGAACAACAAGGTCCCACTTATCTTGCTCCAAATCCAAAATATTTTTGGTTAAAATGGGAAAAGGATTCAGCTGGTTCAATCCACAGTTTAGTGTAATGGCCATTCCTGCAACTTTAAAAAAAAAAAAAAAAAGTACATAATGAATTGGTATATGTTGGGTCATTTTAATTCTGTATTGCTTGATATGAATTTAGAAAATTTCCTAACAGTATCTTTTTTCCTCCTTTCTGTTGGGAAAAAAAAAAAAAAAACCCTCACAGCCATCAAGTTAATACCAACTCATAGCCATTTTGGTTAGCAGCTGAATGCCTTAACCACTGCACCACCAGAGCTCCTTTTTATTGAAAGCTGTTTTCACAAAGAAGCCTGATGACCATGCCAATATAAGCTACTTACTGCCATTTCCAAGAAAATATGTCAGACTGGGTATCTTGAGCCAAGAGGTTTGGTTCTTAAAGCTATGTAGGAGACAGGGTTTTAGGTTTGTGCAAGGTGGTGAGTTAGAACTGAGGCTCCTGTATAAAATAAGGGCTATGCCTTCAGCGAAAGGGTGGACAAAAAGAAAACTAAAAAAATAAAATAAAATAAAAACGTACTTGTCTCAGCTTGAGCTCTAAAAGAATAAAAGTCTTCCCTAAAGACACAAGCCTATCTCATTTGGGTCTTGGCTCAAATAAATACTATGTACATATTTCAGGAAATCCCTAGCCCAGAAATTAACAGTAACATGTTATATCACTGTACGATCCCTGGCAGAAACACAGGCAAATCCTACTGGGTAAATGTACCGTCAACTCAGGCCTCACAGAATTCCCACAGTGTCCCACTGAACATAAGCTCACAATCTCAGAGTACAAAATATATACGGCAATAAGCTACCAAGTGGATGCAACTGTACATAGTTATCCTGGAGAAAAGGGAAAAAAAGAAATAAGAGAGATGAGCTTTAAATACTTTTAAATATGAAATCCTTACTGGGGTCTATGTCATTGGCCAAGATCCTTAATGCCCCACTCATTTTAGCAGCAATAGCTGTAGCTCCACATCCACTTCCAAGATCTAACACAGATTTTCCTCTGACAATGTCAGGATTATCCAAAAGATACCTAAATTAGAAAGAAAGATTAGAAAATTAGAGAGATGAGAAGAAATCAGTAAGATGTATATATATATATATATATATATATATATATATATATATGTATGTGTGTGTATATAGATATATAGATATATATATTTGGGTTGGCTGGACAATGAAGTAGTAGAACTTAGTAGAAGAACTTGGTCCAACCTCAGCAAATTTGGCCTGGCTAGAGTGAAACAAAATGTCAATCAGAGCTGGGCTGATATAGAAGGAAAAAAAATCTAGTTATCTGCCCTTTCTCTTCAGCATGTATGAAGAACAGCTCCACACAGCTAAGTCATCATGCTCTTCAAACTCAACTAAAAAAAAAGTACTGAGCACTTACTGTTGTTGTTGTTAGGTGCCATCAACTCAGCTCTGACTCACAGCAACCCTATGTACAACAGAACAAAACACTGCCCTGTCCTGCACCGTCCTCACAATCCTTGCTATACTTGCATCCATCATTGCAGCCACTGTTGTCGATCCATCTTGTTGAGGGTCTTCCCCTTTTTCTCTGACCCTCCACTTAACCAAGCATGACATCCTTCTCCAGGGACTGGTCCCTTCTAATAACATGACCACAGTAGGTGAGATTAAGTCTGGCCATTCTCACTTCCAAGGAGCATTTTGGCTGCACTTCTTCCAGGACAGATCTGTTCATTCTTCTGGCAGTCCACAGTATTTTCAGTATTCTTTAACACCACCACAATTCAAAAGCATCAATTTTTCTTCGATCTTCCTTATTCATTGTCCAGCCTTCATATGCATATGAGGCAACTGAAAATGCCATGACTTGGGTTAGGCGCACCTTAGTCTTCAGAGTGACATCTTTGCTCTTTAACACTTTAAAGAGGTCTTCTGCAGATCTGCCTAGTGCAATACGACGTCTGATTTCTTGACTGCTGCTTCCATGGGTGTTGACTGTGGATCCAAGTAAAATGAAATCTTTGACAAATTCAATCTTTTCACCATGATGACATTGCTTACTAGTCCAGTTGTGAGGATTTTTGTTTTCTTTATGTTGAGGTGTAATCCATACTAAAGACTCTAGCCTTTAATTTTCATCAGTAAGTGCTTCAAGTCATCTTCACTTTCAGCAAGCAAGGTTGTGTCATATGCATATTGAAGGTTGTTAATGAGTCGTCCTCCAATCTTGATGCTGTGTTCCTCTTCAGATAGTCCAGCTTCTTGGATTATTTGCTCAGCAGATAGAGTAAGTATGGTGAAAGGTTTCAACTCTGACACATGCTCTTTATGGTTTTAAACCATTCAGTATTCCCTTGTTCTCTTCAAACAACAGCTTCTTGGTCTATGTACAGGTTCCTCACAAGCACAATAAAGCATTCTGGAATTCCCATTCATCACAATGTTATCCATAATTTGTTATGATTCACAAAGTCAAATGCCTTTGCATAGTCAATTAAACACAGGTAAACATCTTTCTGGTATTCATTGCTTTCAGCAAAGATCCATCTACATCACAGTGATATCCTTCATTCCGTATCATTTTCTGAATCCAGCTTGCATTTCTGGAAGTTCCCTGTCAATATATTACTGCCACTGTTTTTGAATTATCTTCAGCAAAATTTTACTTGCATGTGATATTAATGATACTATTCAATAATTTCCACATTGTGTTGGATATCTTTCTTTGGAATGGGCACAAATATGGATCTCGTCCAGTTGGTTGGCCACATAGCTATCTTCCAAATATCCTGGCACAGATGAGTAAGCACCTCCAGCATTGAATCCATTTGTTGAAACATCTCAGTGGGTATTCTGTCAATTCCTGGAGCCTTGTTTTTCGCTGGTTGTTTTAGTACATATTATGATCCACTTTAGTACATATTATGATATTAGGAGCTCTGGTAGCATAGTGCCTAAAGGCATTTGACTGCTCACCAGAAGGCTGGCGGTTCAAATCCACCAGCCACTCCTCGGAAGGAAGGTTGGGCAATCCTACTTCCGTAGTGATACTGCCTCGGAAACCCAAGGAGGGGTCACTATGAGTCGGGGCCGACTCGACGGCAAACAACAACAACAACAACATGATCCAAAAACTACTAAACACAGGGAATAAACCGAAGTAAATCAAACTCACTGCCATTAAGCTGATTCTGACTCACTGCAAACCCCTTTGGGTTTCTGAGACAGTAAATCTTTACAGAAGTAGATTGCCTAGTCTTCTTTCCACCAAGTGGCTAGTGGGTTTGAACTGCCAACTTTCTGGTTAGCAGTCAAATGCCTTAGGCATTACACCACCAGAGCTCCTTCCGCACAAGGAACAGAGACTGAAAAAATGCTGCCATTCTCAGGATTAAGCAAGCTAGATCCAAAATACATGGTCTCCTTTCAATTGTTCATCATAGAGTGTTTTTTCCTGCTGCCTGAATTGTATTATTACAACTTCACTGGTAAGGTACAACTAAAGTCCAGTTCAACCACAAAATTTGGACCAGGGGTGATTGGTTACCAAATAAGTGAAGATGGATAACACTAAAATAATAAATGTTAATGGACACTTGACCTCAGTACTGGAGATGAATTGGGAGTAATGGGGACCATGGTGTTAGAATAAAGATTTCTGCTTTGTTAGGCCTGATTCCATAGTGTTAGAATAAAATTCTGCATTTTTAGTTAAGATGGCATTTCTTTAAAACCTGCCTTCAACCTTGTTGGCATTAACGTACACTCCAAGATACAGTTATCAGTTCCTGCTGCCTCCTGTGCTCTAAGACAGGGCCAGCTGTGTCAATAAAGGCTCCTGGGTCAGACTTAGGACCCACCCTCTAGACTTTGACAAACACCAATGGAGCCTCTTACGGATTACCTGACAGCTGTTTGACCTCATGAGAAACATTCCTTTCTTAATTACCAATTGTCCTATCTAACTTTTGGAAAACTAATCCTGCATATGAGCTGTATCTCTTTTCCTTTTACATATAAGAAACCTTAATTGTAAGTAATGAGCAGAGCAGGCATTTTTTGGAGTCACTGAGACCCCATCCGTTGATGCAACTTCTGATTAAAACTCTTTTTCTCAAAAAAAAGGGGGGGGGGGACCAGGCTTGCTGGTCCAATACAGCCTGGTGGAACCACTGAGACTATGGCCTCTAGCTGCCCGTCAGGTCTGGAATTGAACCCACACCTGTGGCTTCCAGCCAAGCAAAAGATAGGCATATGAATTGAACATTTACCTGAAGTAGATACATTCCTTGGAGATAACAATCTTGAGAGAAAGAAGGGCTGTTTATATGCCGGGAGACAGCTCAGGGGGCAAGAGTGCATGGAGGGATGGACACAAGGAAGAGGTAACTATTGGGAGGAAGTGAGAGGGTAGCTGTTACATTGTGGTAAATTATGGTCAATGTCATGAGACAAAGTATATGTGAACTGCTGTATGGAAAGTGAATTTGCTCTGTAAATCTCCACCCAAATCACAATTTAAAAAAAAACAAAACTCTCTTTTTCTCCTTGAACTCTGGTGTGGGGTGTTGCCTCCACCATTCCAGGGCCAGACCCTGGCGTTTTTCAGGTAACAATGGTGAAGTAGGAATTGAAACACATGCCTGGTCAAAAGAGGCAGTTGCTACTCATCTTCAGCTGCTGCTGTCTCCCAGCTATCCAATTTCACCAGATATTCCTGTTTTTCAAAACAAAGTTGACTTTTACAGGAAATTTCTCAAGTTTTAAGTATTAAACATTAGCAACTAATTAAAAAAAAAAAAAAGAGTTACAACAAAATAAAGGTCAAACAAAACATATCTGTGGGTCACCAGTTTGTGCCTTCTGATACAGAAGAGTCTCTTAAAGACATGGACTGTGTTTATATTTGGATTTGCCAAATAGCCACTCTAATACATATCATTTAAAATGTCAGCATTTAAAAAATATCGTGTAACTAATTAAAGCTTGAAGGTTTGGCAACCCAACCACCAGAAAATTGGAATTGTTAGGTAGTACCTGGAAAGCTTTCCAGTCCTTGGGATTTCTAAAAAAAGGTATGCTGACACATGTATTACATTTAAAACAATATACAACATTAACTCTGTGGGCCGTGCCATTCCTGTCAAAGAGAAGACTTTATCGTCCTTTTTGTTTCACAGTTCCATAACCTGAAGGCAGAAACATTAAATGATTTACCCATCCAAGAGCAAAGACCAGACTGAAAATCCTGAGAGATCTTGCCTTTGTTTCATTGTCTGGTTTTAAAGAAAAAAACATAATGTGAGAAAATGCCCTAAGAAGACCTTTGCAATATTTGGGGTGGGGAGGTGGAAAGGGGGAAACCTTAAAAATGCAGAATCGAATGCAGGGTTTGCCTGAGATAGCAATATGCCACTAGAGTAGCGGGAAGCCTTGACTGCCCCATTCACTCACATCTCTTGCTCTGCGCAAAACTGAGAAGAGGCAAAGATGGAGGGTAAAGGTTAGAAGCAACAGTCACAGCCCTGAATTAGGAGTGCTGAAGGGCTGGGTGCTTAGGTTCTGCCCAGGAACTTGAGGCACTGGCCATATATTATGACCCTTGAACCTGAAGATATGTGAGATTTCTAGGATCCTGATAGCTAACCCTGTTGTTGTTGTTGTTGTTATGTGCCGTCGAGTCGGCCCCGACTCATAGCGACCCCTCCTTGGGTTTCCGAGGCAGTATCACTACGGAAGTAGGATTGCCCAACCTTCCTTCCGAGGAGTGGCTGGTGGGTTTGAACCGCCAGCCGTCTGGTTAGCAGGCAAGTGTCTTAGCCACTATGCTACCAGAGCCCTAGAATCTCTATATTTGATAAACTTGGCATACAAGGTGAAACTATGCCACTAAACCACCAACAAAGATGGTTTAATTGCCCCAAATAAGAAAAGAAGTATTTTGACTTTTGCTCTAGTAATATTTTTCTTTGGGGGCTGGGAGGGGAGAATGAGGAGTTGGAGGGAGCAGAAAAAGAAAGGATCTGTCCCAATGCCATCAAGTCAATTCCAAATCACAGTGACCCTACAGGACAGAGCAAACTTTCCCAAAGGTTTTCCAAGACTGTCCTCTTTACAAAAACAGACTACTTCATCTTTCTCCCATGGAGCAGCTGGTAGTCTTGAACCACCAACCTTCTGGTTAGCAAACAAAAGCCTTAACCATTTCACCCCTGAAAGGATCTGTCAGCCTTGAAAGTTCTCATTTAATTAGGGCAATACCTAGACAGAGCCTGGCCTCCAGGCCAGTAGATAGCCCAGTAAGGATCACTGTAGGGCCACAAGTCAGCTCTTTCCCACCAGAACTTGCATCTGGGAGTCAAAAGCCGCAATTGGATTTCAGGAGTGAGGCTGCCACCGCTGGTAACTTCAGTGTTTTCCTCCAGGAAAGCTTTCATCTCAGGGTCCAAAAAGCTTCCAGCTCCTCTCCAGGGGCAGTGGCCCCAGGGAAACAATGGAAGACCACTGCTTCTCACAGCCCTCAGTAAAAGATAGCAATGGTTCGTGGGAAACTGTGCAAATACTTTCCAACTTAGGCTCAAAGCCATTAGTCCTTTTCCAAAACATTGGTTCTGTCAGTATTGCTGTTGATAAGGGTTGCTCCTCATGGGAAAAGAACAAGGGCCTGGCTCCCAATTTGATCTCAACAGGACTCTCTGGATCACTGAAAAACAGAAATAATACTGAAAATTCCAAGGCTGACTAACATTTCCAAATCCTATTACATACTAAAAAAAATTACAGTGTAGGCTCAATATCTGACGATTTACAAGTATGAGTTCATTTAAGATGAAAGCTTTGTGCATCAGTTTAGGAAAACTCAATCTTTTAAAAGGATGTCTTTTCACAAAGGAACCCCGTTAATTTTTACAACAAATATATAAGGATTTGATTTTGAGAAAAACTCATCAGAAACCTGTCTGGTGCATAAAACAAACTATATTTTGAAGTCCTTGCATACCCTCAACAAATCACTTACCATTAACCAAGCACTGTGCTTGGCCACTAAGAATACCTGTCCTCAGGAAGCTTACATTCTAGCAGGGGGATAGAGCATTTATCAAGGCAACACAGTTCTAGCTGTTATGAAGTATACCCAAGAGCTGCGGAGTTAACAAACTTAACTGTCTGTGGAGCAGAGGCTTATAAATTTACTGACTACACCGTGCTTCAAAAAAGATTACTGTGTCATAAAATATCAGTGTAATCAATATTCAGATTTTTCCTTTATAGTTTGTTTGATTTTGATCCCAACCATGTAACAGCACTGTTTCCACTTCCTCCTTGTGTTTACTGTTTCCTTTTGTCCTTCTTTCCTATCCCTTCCTACCTTCTGAGCTTTATCCCTAGGCAAATGCTGTCCTTTTGATTTCATATGGTGGTTCTAAGGAGAGCACACCTCCCTGGAATTACTGTTCACCTTATAGGACTGTCTATCCTTTGAACAAAAAGTTGAGCCATGGGGGTGAGTTCAGTTCCAGGCCAAAACTTTATAGATTTAGTTGTAGGAAAAGGATATCGACTCTCAAATCTCTTTCTGTAAATATCTCTGATGATTCAAGTTGACCAAGCCTGAGCTGAAAAGATTTGCTCCAGCCTTGCTAACAATAAGTAGGAATGAGGAATAGCATCTTGGACACTAAAATTATACAGCTAATTGTCTGGACCCTGTGATTTACATACTTGTTTTAAACAGTGTTATACCCACCCAAAAGGCACCCTGGAGATGCAATAATGATTAAGCATGCTGCTGCCAACTAAAAGGTCAAGAGTCTGAACCCACCAGCTGCTCCTCAGGAAGCAAAGGCCTGGTGACCTGCTTCCATAATGATTATAGCTTAGGAAACCCTATAGGAAAATTCTACTCTGTCATATAGGGTCACTATGGGGCAGAACAGAGTCCACAGCACACAACAGCACAGCCACCCAAATACCTTGTTGTTGTTATGTGCTATCGAGTTGGACCTGACTCACAGCGACCCCTCCTTGGGTTTCCGAGGCAGTATCACTACTGAAGTAGATTGCCCAACCTGCTTGCCGAGGAGCGAGGAGCGCCGGTGGGTTTGAACCGCCAGCCTTCTGGTTAGCAGTCAAGTGCCTTAGGCACTACGCTACCAGAACTCCTACACCCAAATACATAGAGAGCCAAAAATTAAAATACCTGCAAGGGGCCAGATTGGTGATATAAATGAGTGAGGCAGGCTAGTGGTAAGATAACAGAAGGGGCAGCGGCAAACTGGATACTGTCTTAACAGCCCAAAGGGGCCAACAAACTGTTGCCAGGTAAGTACAGGTAGCCAGATCTTCTGATTTCTCAAGATAATTCAGAAATCCACTTACTTTTATTTATGGTTAAGCTCCCACCTTTTAATCTCTGACAACTAATTCAAGTAACAGAACAGGGCAACAGCATGTATCAAGTAACTAGTGTGCAAACCCAGGCTAGACTTTCAGTGTGAATTATCCTATGTTTATGCACCAAACGTTGGCTCCCAGGAGTTCTAATAGTGACATCACATTCCACTAATTCTGTTAAGCAGTATTGGGTTATTCCTGTTGTTGTTAGCTGCCATCTAGTCAGCCTACTTATGGGAACCCTATGTCCCACAGAGTAGAACTGCTCCATAGGGTTTTGTTGGCTGTAATCTTTATGGCAGCAGACTGCCAGGCCTTTCCTCTTCAGAGCAGTGTGAAAACGCCAATCTTCAAATTAGCAACTGATGGCAAACTGCTTGCGCTACCTGTTTCTTTGGGTAATCTCTAGAATCATACAAGTGCAAGGCTGGAAAATAAAGCAAATACGAGATTATTTTGGATTTGAGCATGTCATTGGGACTGAGGCCTTCTCCTCCCATTCCAGCACCAATAAAGCATCGGTTATGAAGTGCGTGATTATGTGGTGGGCACCTGGCACCTAAATTAACCGACAAGAAAAGAGCTGGAGGGACAGAATGGATAAATTCCACAAGTGTGTGTGACTACGTTATTTTCCTCCCGCATGCGCTAAAGCAAGACAGGGAGCCATCGATCTTAAAGGGGTAGGTACGGTCCTCCTTCTTTCTTACCTTGCTTTTCTAATGCTGTACTGCACTGCACTCGGAAGCTAAAGCACAAGACAGTCGCCTTTGCGACTCTCTTCGGTACATTCTTCTCCCTTGCGCCTCCAGCTCACTCTTCCCAAAGCTTGAGACTGGAGGAGGGCGGAGAGTACGCGCAGCCAGAAGCAGGCTGCAGCGCCTTCCGCCCTCTTTCCCAGCAGCTCTGTCTTCCTTTTTCACTACGGTTTTTTTTTTTTTTTTTTTGGTTTTGGTTTTTCTTAAAGGGGCAGGAAGGGCCACACGAAAGGCTGCCGTTACCTCCCTTCAGAAAGTTACAATCCGTGTGCAACGCTCTGTCAAATTTTTACTTTATAAGATTGTAAAACTCGTTATGGATTTTCTATGTGCCAGACACACTTCTGGACAATGGGCATAGAGCAGTGAGCAAAATGGTTCTGTATAACTCCTTTATAGCGCTCACAGGTATTTATAGGTAAGTAAAATTATAATTTATGTCTTCCCTGTTATAATAATATTCCTAAAGGCACAATCTAAATGTATTTGCAATCCACAGCTCTTAAACTCTGAATTCCTATATCCATCTTTAACCTGGATTCAGTTGTCCCAATAGCCCCTCAACCCACCACATTCCAAATTTAATTCCCCATCTCCCCTGACAATTAAAACCTGCTCTGGCTTGTCAAGGGGTGCGGGGGTGGGGGGGGAGTCCTAAACTAGGAAATGGGCAAACTATGTTTCTGCATCTTTAGTTTGCAGTTTGATAAATGAACTGGCCTGTTCAAAATCAGAGCTTGCCCCTTGGGTGCTGTGCTCCTGCCCTGGGTTTGAGGGGTCCCAGGCTTTTCAGTAGGAGCTCTGGTAGCGTAGTGCCTAAGGCACTTGACTGCTAACCAGAAGGCTGGCAGTTCAAACCCACCAGCCACTCCTCGGAAGGAAGGTTGGGCAATCTACTTCCATAGTGATACCGCCTCAGAAACCCAAGGAGGGGTCTCTATGAGTCAGGTCTGACTTGATGACACACAACAACAACAGGCTTTTCACTCATGTAAACTGGAACCTCTAGGATGAAATGTATTGTTCAAGTTAACAGCCCCAGATGTATCCTTATCATTTGCTTCTTAGATGAATGGAGTAGCTATTCTGATTGACAGATACACACCTTTCATTTTAGAGTATTTTGCCCTAGATTTCCTCTGTAATAACCCCTAAAATGTTTTTATGACCATGGAGAAAAACAGAATTCTTTATCTTACTAGCTTTTTACTTTACGGGTGTGTGAGGAGCATCAGCTGCTGATGGAAGCCTTGCATTTTCTCAGTTACAGTAACCTCTCATTTCCAGCTGCTCTCTGGTTCCCTGCTAGCAATAAACTTTGATATACCTTCAATAAATAGGGGCATCCCTGGCTGCTGCAAGTGGTTAAGCACTCAAGTACTAGCAAAAGGTTAGGTGTTCAAACACTCAGGTGGAAGACAGGCTTGATGGCTCTGCTTCCAAAAGTTCACAACCTTGAAAACCCTATTGGAACAGTTCTGCTATGCACACATGGGGACACCATGAGTCAGCGATGACTCCATGGCAACTAACAGCAACATATGTTCAATCAGCTTCAAAAATGTTTCTAACCAGTGTGTTTTCTAATGCAGTAAATAGCACAAACATCCCAACTGTGGTCCGTGCCAGAAACCAGTGAGAGGAGACGGCCACATTTCTACAAAAGTGGTTATGGTGGAAATCAGAGAGGTCACAGTTGAAAATGTATTTGCTTAATATTTAGTCACCTTATCTAGAACTCAGGAGCTCTGGTGTCATAGTGCCTAAGGCATTTGACTGCTAAACAGAAGGCTGGCGGTTCAAACCCACCAGCTACTCTTGGAAAGGAAGACTGGGCAATCTACTTCTGTAGAGATACTGCCTGGGAAACCCAAGGAGGGGTCGCTATGAATCAGATCCGACTTGATGGCACTGAGTTTGATTTTTTTTTTTTTTTTTTTTTTCCGGTATCCAAAACTCAGCCTCAGCTAAAGGAATTACTGCATGTCCTTTGTCCTCTTTAATTGTTTTTAAAACTATTCACTTCTTTCCATCCCGACAGCCATTGCCTTAGTTTGACCTTATGATTGTTTGCCTGGATTCCCTCCTATAACTGTGTGGTCTGTTGATCTCAGTCCTGCCTTCCTCCAACCTATTCTCTATACTCCAGCTTAAATGATTTTTCTGCAACTTAATTCCATAGTCCAGGAAAAAAAAACCCTACATTTCTGTAGTCCCAGATAAGCCATGAAAAGCAGACACCTGGATTTCTTTTTCTACTATTGTTTGGTATTGATAATTTTGTTGCTTTTTAATAGCTATTTTACTAAAATAGACCCAGATGTTATCCAGAAGATAGTCAACTCTCTAATAACAATTTGAGCCATCTCCTGAGCTCATTATTTTTGCCTTTGTATACTTGCCTGCAAGAGCTCTTGTGGCACAGTGGGTAAAGCACTCGGCTGCAAACCCAAAGACTAGCAGCTGGAACCCTGCAGTTGCTCTGCATGCAAAAGATGAGGCAGCCTGCTTTCTTAAAGATCTACAGTGTGTAAACCAGATGGGGGGCAG